AACCTTAGCAAGTACTCTTGAAAATCTAATCATACCTCAAAGAATATTATCATATGAACCATTTTATGTGGTGACAGTGCAAGCTAAGTTAGGACCTTTTTAAAAATGTAACTTGAAAAAAATGTAAGTTTGAAAGTAGACTTTTACATGACTTCTTTTCTTTGTGGTGCTGAACCCAGCACAAAAATAAGTTAATATTTATAAGTGATATGATTCTATACTTTAACAATCCTAAAGTTTCCACCAAACCCATTCCTCCCAACTTAGTTTTGACAAATGCTGTTGGAAAATTATCAGAATACATATTTAGCATACAAAACAATTTTTGTGTGTGTTCCAGAACTCAGGGCATTCAGCTCTTGCTTGGCTTTTTCACTCAAGGCTGGTGCTGTGCCATTCGAGCTACAGGAAAATGTTCTCTTAAACATACTATAGTGCAGAGGTTGGTTCCCTCAGTGCCACAGAAATAAAGGACTTAAGCCCATCTTCAGAGTGCAGATAAAGAATTTGGGGCAGGGGACAAAAGGTATGTAGCCCAAGTCACAAGCATGTCCTAGTATTCAGGTGATCAGAGGTGCCTTCAGAGAAGAGGTGTGTCAGAGGTGGTCTGACAGTCCACTGTCTCAGTTTTGGTCAGGTGGAGCCTTTGAGACATTGATGCCCCCCAGTAAGTCCTGTCCTCCCTGGATTTCAAGATGGTTACCAAGTGACTGCAGAAGAAAAAGGCTCAGGTCAAAGGACATAGATACAAAAGGAAGGTAGGGATGCCTAGTTTTTGTTCTGCTTTTAGTTAATTGGTGGGTCTAAGTAGTAACTCATTTGATTTTGAAGCAAAAGCAGCTTCTGTGCACCTGTGACAATGAGTTATCCAACCCCAAATGTCAATACTGCCAGGTTGAGCAAGTGCCCTATGAGATTAATCACACAAAGCACTTTGAAAGTATCCGGCTTACAATCTTAAGTTCTGAAAAACCAGAAGCTGCTTTTCTTTGGTGCAATCTCACCCAGTATTTCCAGACCTGAAATAGATGGGATGTGAAACACTCTGAATACTGAGAACCTAGCTCTCTGCTCCAGGTGTGAGTCACCCTGTAAATGTCAATTATTTAAAGCAGAGCCGAGATTCTTTTATTTAAAGCAGAGCCGAGGCTGCACCAGTGACTCAGGGCTAGCAGCCTTCCCAGGCTAGCATGATTTAGTCAGGGAGGAAGTAATTTTGTCCTAAAGCTCTTATTCCAAGGGGTGTATAAGCAATTCAGGATTCAGATACCCCAGTGTTCACTGGGGCTGTTGGATTATTTCTCATCTCACTTCAAACACAGTAGGGCACCTGAGAAAAACAGCTGAAATGGAAAAGTTGACTAGTTTCAAATACTTTTCTTACTAGTATATATAGTGGTTGTTCTTCCCCTGCAACGTGAACTGAAATTACTTCACCAGAGCTTTGGTCTACAGAATTCACTTTCTCTCACTAACACACATTAATATTACTGCACAGGTCTAAAGACAGATCACTTGTTTGGTGTTTGTGCCAGTACTGGGGCTTGAACTCAGGGCTTCACAGTACTCATGTTTTTTTCCCCCCCTCAAAGCTGGCACTCTACTACTTGAGCTCCACTTGTGGCTAATTGCTGTTAACTGTAGATGAGAGTCTCATAGATTTGTCTGCTTGGGCTAGCTTCAGACCTCAAGTCTCAGATCTCAGCATCCTGATTAGCTAGGATTACAGGTGAGAGACACCAGTGCCCAAGATATTTTTTTTTTTGTCAGTTTGTGGGGCTTGAACTCAGGGACTGGGCACTGTCCTTGAGCTTTTTCACTCAATGCCAGTGCTCTACCACTTTGAGACATAGTTCCACTTCCAGTTTTCTGGTGGTTAATTGGAGATAAGAGTCTCATGGAAGCCGGGCGCTGGTGGCTCACGCCTGTAATCCTAGCTACTCAGGAGGCTGAGATGTGAGGATCGCGGTTCAAAGCCAGCCCGGGCAGGAGAGACCTGTGAGACTCCTATCTCCAATAAACCACCAGAAAACCGAAAGTGGCGCTGTAGCTCAAGTGGTAGAGCGCTCGCCTTGAGCTGAAGAGCTGAGGGACAGCGCCCAGGCCCAGAGTTCAAGCCCCACGACCGAAAAAAAAAAAAAAAAAAAGAGTCTCATGGACTTCTTCTTACCCAGGATAACTTTGAAACAGTATTCTCAGATCCCAGCCTCCTGAGCCACCAGGGTTACAGGCATGAGCCACCAGTACCCAAGACGGATCATTTCTGATAGGTAAGGGAGACTGCAGGGAAGCCAGGACCAGAGAAATGTGGAAGAAAGCTGGATAAAGCACTTGGGCCTGAATACCCTAAAGAAGAAAGTAAAATAGGAGCTAGCAAAGATGGGCTAGGGAGCCTGCACAGAATCTGGCCCTGTGCCTATGTCTTTCCTGAAAAGTGCTAAGCCCAGAGGCAAACAGGTGGTGGGAGGGAAAAGACAGGCACCTAGATGCCTAAACATCTGGTTCAACTGCTCTTCTTCCTGAGTCACTGAAATGCAAAATCCTGGGGGTATAAGGAGCTTTAGGGGCTTCTAGTCCAGCTCTTTTGTTGCCTACCACTCCAAGCCAGCCACTGGAAAAGCCAGGAAATGCCTCAGATATTAGATTATTATTAGATTGCAAAGCATAGGCTTTGCTGGGCACCAGTGGCTCACACCTGTAATCCTAGCTACTCAGGAGGCTGGGATCTGAGGATTGAAGTTCAAAGCCAGCCCAGTCAGGAAAGTCCATGAGACTTATCTCCAATTAAGCACCAGAAAACCAGAAGTGGCACTGTGGCACAAGTGTAACACGCTAGCCTTGGGCTGAAAAACTCAGGGATAGACTCAGATTTCAAGGCCAAAGGCTAACCAAAAAACAATAAACAAAAAACCCCAAAACAACAACAACAACAAAGCATAGGCTCTCAGAGCCATACAACCAGAAGTGCTTCAGGGTGATATGGTTGGGAGTAGGGCCACAAGGGATAGGGGTATTAGGAATTTCAGGCTCTGTTCAAATTTTTTTTTCAAATTTATTATTGTGATTAAGTGGTTACATAATTTCCCAAATTTCACACTATTGTGGGATAGGGAAGCTTACTTAAAATCACAAATACATTCTAACTCTCATAGGACAAATTGTCTATCATGGTCTATAACATTTATGAGTTCTATGAGCTTTGTAATAGTTATTTCTTCCACATTGGGTGATATGTACATTTCTTTTGTTTTGCATAGCATCAGCTGTTCCCTCTTTCCCACTTGTTCCCTCCCTCCCATCGCTGCCATTGAGTTGCTTAGTTCATTTTGGTCAATGTCCAGTGCAGTTGATGGGTCCTGTTGTATGTTTTTCCAATTCCCTCTAGCTCTGTGTTGTCCTCCTGGTTTCCCTCTGGTGTGCACATATATGCCATCCATGTGATCAGCAGCATGGGGTTATTTAGTAGTGATTCAACCAGATGAGTGGAAGTCCTTTGTTTCTTAAGTCCTGTTAATTTTGTCGTACCACCTAACATTTTGGATTTAACATCCACTTATCAGGGAGACCATGTGCCGCTTGTCTTTTTGCACTTGGCTTACCTCGCTTCATTAATTTCTCCGCAAATGCCGTTATTTTGTCCTTTCTAATGTCTGCATAATATTCCATTGTGTATAGATACAATTTTTGGATCCATTCATCTGTGGTGGGACATCTGGGTTGTTTCCATATCCTGGCTATTGTGAACAGTGCTGCAATAAACATGGAGGTGCATGTGTCCTTGTATACTGGTTCCTGTTGTTCAGGATAGATGCCTAGAAGTGGTATGACTGGGTCATAAGGGAGGTCAATATTTAGCTTTCTGAGGACCCTGCAGACTGCTTTCCAAAGTGGTTGTATAAGTGTACATTCCCACCAGCAGTATAATAGAGTTCCTCTTTCTCTGCATCCCCTCCAACATTTGTCGATGGCTGAGTTGAGGATGTGGGACATTCTGACTGGGGTAAGGTGGTATCTCAGGGTTGTCTTTGTGTTTCCTTCACAACCAGGGATGGTGAACATTTCCTCATGTGTTTCTTTGCCATTTTTATCTCTTCTTCTGAGAAGTCTCTCTTTAGTTTCCTTGCCCATTTAGTAGTTGGTTTGTTAGGTTTGGGAGGGCTTAGTTTCTTGAGTTCCCTTTATAGACTGTATATTAACCCCTTGTCTGATACACTGCTGGTAAATATTTTTTCCCAATTAGTTGGTTGTCTTTCTAGCTTGGTTGTTATAGCTTTAGCTGTGCAGAAACTTGAAGGTAGTCCCATTTGTTGAGTCTCTCTCCAATTTGTTGTAAGCTTGGGATTCTGTTCAGGAAGTTCCTGCCTGTGCTTATAAGTTCAAGTGTCTCTCCTACTCTGTCCTCCAGTAGTTTCAGAGATTCAGGTTTAGTGCCAGCCAGCCCCCAAGCACCGCAAGCACACCAAGTGCCCCCAAGCAACCCACAAGCAAAGGTTTTGCTTTGAAACCAGGTCTCAGGCCCAATGTGAATCTATAATGATAAGGAATGTGGCCCCTTTCTTGCCTCCTCTACTCCCACTTTTTTGTATCTTTAGAACTTCCAGAAGAATCTATAACTCTCCTTTTTACTTAATTTCATTATATATAATTGATTTCTATTTCAACTTCCCAGAAAATAGGCAGATTTTGAGATTTCAAAAAAGAAAGAAACAAACCCCAAACCTACATGCTGAGGATATATTCTCTTGTTCCCCCAAAGCCGATTACACGGAGAGAATGCAGGCAGGATGTCCTCTTTGGAAGCCACCTACACCTTCTGCAAGCATGACTGCCATGACACAGCCCTAGCCACAGTCCTGCCGCTCCTGCCTGTGCCCCTGTTATCTGCACACATATATGTAAGTACCACCCATGGAAATGGTTATGAATTGTATACAATTTAATCTGAGGAAACAGTATATCAAAATATTTGCATATTTTAGAAAATAGGTATGTAATAAACAATGCAGAGATCCCAGTGTAAAAGTCTCAGAGTTATGAGGCAAGCACAGCACCACAACACCCAGGATCACCAGTGGTCTCAGTTTCAGCAGGTGGAGGAGGAGGTGATGAGGCTAGTGGTGGTGGTGATGGTGGAATCTCTATGATGGTGTCACTGGGCTCCCTGTGAAAGGAACAATAGCAGGCTTTCAGTATTGATGGAAGCAACTAGACTTTTCCTTGCCTCCCCTTGTTAGCTAGGAATGTTGAATTGCCCCCAGGCATTTACCCTTTTTCCTTCTTATTGAAAATCTCTTCCTCATCAGAAGAGTCCCTGTCATGTAGCTTGTTGGCCATGTTTTTCTTGCGTGTGGCATTGAGAGGTCTGTACATATCCCTCAGCCAAACTGGCTGCCATAAGGAGAAGAAGCCCTCCTAGGAGAGACAAGGAGAAACATTAATTCTATATTCACTTCCCTTTTCTGGGCACAGAACTAGGTCCTTAACTTGCCTGACTTCTTGTTTCTGATGAGCATTTCCTTCGCAGAAATCCAAAAAAGCTCCTTGGGGGAAAAAGGAAGCAGACAATGATTCATGCCATTTTGCATGTCTCTCACAATGTACATCTAACATCTTACTGACAGAAAGCTCTATACTTTGGTTCACAATCACAATGAGCACAGGCTATCCTAACCTGTGGCTTGAAAACAATTCCAAGTATGCAGGCAGAGGTTGCAGAATCTCCCCAGGTCTGTCCCAAAGGTCTCTACAATCCTTCTAGGGAGACCTTGGGCTGCAGCATAGGTGGATTGCTAGCCCCACTTATGCTCTCTGCCAGAAATCTCTGCACATAAACAACTGCTCAACCATTCTGGGCAAAAGCCTTTATTCTTTCTAGAGCCTTTCACTTCAGTCCTCTTTGGACTTAGTCTTTCATATGTCAGTTGCTGGGGAGAGGGAGAGGTACCTCTGTTCTCTTAGCTGTTTTATCTTAGCTGTTTTTATATAAGCTGAATCATAGGAAGCACAGCTTCTAAAGTTCTGTAGTTAAAGAGATTTTCATCTCTGAAAGGCTGTCATGATGAATGACATGAAATCAATTTAAAGGACACAACTAGCACTTAAAGACAAACTATCATTTCTGAATGAAAACAGAATAAGAAAAAATCAGTTTGTTGTTCTCGAGACTGTAGATGTCCGTATTGCATGTGTGTACTGGTTAAATGTGTCCCCATGTAATAAGGGAAAAGAACCATCTGCTCCAAAAACTCCCGAGGAGTGTGACCTTGCTGGAAGACATTTCCTCTTTCTACTCTCCTTTCTTTATTACAAAAGGTAATGATAAATTAGCATCTGAGGTCTCTCTTACCTAAAAGATGTGAAGTTCTAGGTAAAAGGAGAGTGGGAATGAGAAGGTACCCAGGAGGTTGAGGGGTCGAGTTTTCTCAACTTGTTCTCAACCAGGAAGGATCCCTACATTCCACCTTCCACCAGACCTATACCCCAATACCCTACGGATTTCTTACACTGTCTCCTGAGGCCCACCACTAGCAGGAGCAGTCACAGCTGAAACCTCTCAGTCTCTCACCCTTATTCACTGAAGGACTGTGACAGAGAGTTATCCATGCCAGTACTGACCACCTCTGCCTCTGCTGAAAAACTACTTTTGCTGGAGGCAGGTAAGACCTCTAGGAAGGAAGAGTTCTCTCTACTTTGGATAGGCCTCCCCCCACCCCCACCCCCCATTGCAAGGCTATGGGATAGAAACAGATGAATTCTAGAGGTCCCTGCAATTCTCAGATCTTCACTGGAAGATGTACAGACTCCCATTTACCGTGAGGACTCTTTACTTCCTTCTGCTGACGTTCTGTGGGAATAAATCTGTTTGGGAAGAAAACACAATCATGATTATCTACCAATATTACTACTTTCAACTGTTCCTTCCTTTATTTATGTCTTCTTTGCCCCCCAGGAGGTATCTTTTTTGACTCCAAGAATTCTATCCTAATAATATATACTGTTCTCTTCCACACTATCTAGGTGAGGGTCTTGTCTACAGCTAGAAAGTAACACATAGTATTCGGTATTTTAGATACTATCCAACAGGAAGTTCTCGATGATATCTCCTAATACAGTAAAGCAATCACAATCTTTACTGTAGTAAAGACCAAAAGAACACTATTGTTATTAAATCAAATACAAGATTACTGTCTTTATTACAATTTCTACTATGATGAGACACACTCATTGAAGATGTCCCAACCAATGTAATAAAGGCATAAATGGAGCATAAATGTTGGAAAGGAAAGATATAAACTATTTCTATTTGTATATGAAATGATGGGTAGCCAAAAGGCCTAAGAGAGCCAGGCATCATATCTCACACCTATAATCCTAGCTACTCAGGAGGCTGGGATCTGAGGATCAAAGTTTGAAGCCAGTCTAGGTAGGAAAGTACATGAGGTTATGACCCCCAATCAACCAGAAGAAAGCCAGATGTAGAAAAAAAAAACAAAGCCCAAGAGAATCAACAGGTATTATTGGACTAGTAACAGGAAAGTTCACTGAAGTCGGTAGAAACAACATATGGAAATTAGCACACAAACACGACCTTTCCTATGTACCCATAGGAGTTAGAGGTGAAGGAAAGATCCAATTTATAGTAGCAGTAAGGTGCACAATGCACCTTAGTATAAAATTTAATATGTAAAAAAAACGTAAATAATATGGAAAACTTTCATGACATAGAACCTCTAAAGTCACTGGGTGCTCACACCTATAATCACACCTATAATCTTATCTACTCCGGTGGCTGAGTACTGAGGATCTCAGTTCAAAGCCTGCTGGGGCAGGAAGGTCAGTAACACTCTTATCTCCAGTTAACTACAAGAAAACCCAAAGTGAATCTGTGGATCGTACTGGTAGAGTACTAACCTTGAGCGAAAAAAGAGTTCAGAGACAGCATCCAGACCCTGAGTTCAAGCCCCACTACTGACAAAAAAAAAGTAAATACCTAGGATGAAGCATAGTACCATGCCTTTAACGAAAACTATTTGTGAAGCCAGTCACTGGTGGCTCAAGCCTATAATAATTAATATATTCAGAAGGCCAGCCTGGGCAGAAAAGTCCCTGAGACTCTTATCACCAGTTAACCCCACCATATTGTTTCAAAATCATGTACTTAAAAGTAAAAACAAAAACAACTCCCAAATCTTTTGGAAGAGAAGGTATGAAAAAAGAGCTATGAAATGTATAGAAAAGAAGATGGAGAGGGAAAGGTTGATTACCTTTTACCATTACATAGGTTGGAAAGTTGTTAAAGGAAGCATTATGAAGTTACTAGGACTAACAGTTATTAATTAACAGCTGGTACTGTTACTGTGCAGGATCAATATGGTATTTTAGATTAATGAAGAATGAATTAATGATTTATTAAGAATTGTGTATGACAATTTGATGTTCATTTAGAGTAAAAAAGAATTCTCTTTTTTTTTTTTTTTGCCGGTCATGGGGCCTGAACTCTGGGCCTGGGCACTGTCCCTCAGCTCTTCAGCTCAAGGCTAGCGCTCTACCACTGGAGCCACAGCGCCACTTCTGGCTTTTTCTGTTTATGTGGTGCTGAAGACTTGAACCCAGGACCTCATGCTTGCAAGGCATGCACTCTACCGCTGAGCTATCTTCCCAGCCCTAAAAAAGAATTCTCTACCACAGCCATACTAAAACATGAAAAAATTCCAGATGGATTAAAACTATAAATAACAAGACAAGCTTAGCAAAGCATTAGAGTCCATTTTTATTCCATGAGATAAGAAAGACCTGTCTATCAAGAGCACATACCATAAATAGGCAAGGGTGGGGGGATCTGGCACAGGTTGTGTTGGAAGCTAGAAAAATGTACATGCTCTTCCAAGTCCTGGCCCCCTCCACCAGATTGCTGTCTTTTTTATTTTTCAGTGTGACAAAACTCTCTTTTACATTAACTATGTTAGTCTTTAGCATCAAAAGTGATCATTTACATCGTGTTTTGATGTTTGAAATATATCCTGGTATTATTTTGTGTAAGGACACAAACAGAACAGAGCTAATAAGGACTGCAGGCTTTATTGTCAATGGAATTAGTTTCTGTACTTGGTTTTTTCCCCCTGGGACAATAGTTGATCTCCTTCATTTATAGAAGAGGATGGATGAGATCTTCCTCCTAGGTCTTTTGTAAGGGTTAGATAAGATGATCTATGGGAACTTTTTGGCTTCACTTAGAATCCATAGTGTTGTGGACCTCAGGGACAAGTGGCCAAGGAAGCAAAGGTTTTTGTTTAAGGGATTAGGCATAGAAAGCTCTCTTCTATTACAAGATTATAAAAAAAATTGTTTTCATATTCTCCTCCTAGTTTTTTTTTTTTTTTTTGCCGGTCATGGGGCTTGAACTCTTGGGTGCTGTCCCTGAGGCTTCAGCTCAAGGCCAGTGCTCTACCGCTTGCGCCACAGCACCATTTCCCATTTTCTAGTGGTTTATTGGAGATAAGAGTCTCATGGACTTTCCTGCCCAGACTGGCTTTGAACCGTGATCCTCAGATCTTAGCCTCCTGAGTAGCTAGGATAACATGTGTAAGCCACCAGCGTGCGACTTCTCATAGTTTTAGGACATCTTTGTTTTATTGTTTTTTCATTTTACATTTACTAAAATAGGTAAGAGGTCAAAAATCTTAGTCTAAAAGTGTAGTTCAGGAGTTGAGCACATGGTTAGCTGGCATAACATTCACACAGCACCACTTAACACAAACATCATTTCTTCTTTGACTATCAACTACAAAAGAAACATTGCACATTCCCTGTTCTCACAGAGCTTATCTAAGTAAGCAGAGAAAATAAGTAAAAATAATGAAAATGTTGCACTGTACATACAAAGTAAAGGCAGTATGAGAGTTTATAGAAATTTCTAGACTAGGATATTCAGATGGCCTGCCTGTTGAAAGGCCAGTGATCAATTACTAATGGATTTTGCCCACTGATCCTGTGTTGGTTCCCAATTAAGAGGTGTCAAATTCAAATGTTACTATACTAACAAGACAAATCATTTCTTTCTGTAGTAGCAGTCTTAGCTTGTTACCACAGAACGAGCTGGAAATTCTGGGTTCTATTTGGAAAACACTATGCACTATCAAAGAATTACCATCTGGAGAGTGGGAAAATGGCTTTGGTTTACAGATTGGGTTCTGGATCTATTACAAAAACAAGATATATTCTGGAAAAGTGCATGGATGCTGGTACTTACCTCAATGAGACAGAAAGTAATAATCAAAATCATTACTACTACAGTCACAGATATTGCCAAGATGATTTTGTTGTTATAGCCATATCCCGGAATTTCCTGTGTTAGCTAAAAAAAAAAACAAAACAGAAAACAAAAGGATCCTTTGATTAAATAACAGAGATTTTGAGAAATAACACTATTTAAAACCCCATTCTCCCAGGAGAGAAGCTTGCAATTTCTTAGAGGATGTGTTAAATTTAATGTATCCTATGTGACTTACTAATTTGTAGTTTCTCTATACTTCTACTGTGTTTTAGGACTACTCCACTCTATAAAGAAGAGTGGAGAACACTGTCCTGGTCACATGACTTTGGAATAACCTAAAGCACGGGTCTTCCTCCTTGAAGGTATATATGTAAAGGATGGGGAAAGCAGAGCTTGCAGTTCTATAGTTGGCCTCACCTCACTTGGCTCCTTCTGTTCACCTTGAACTTCAGTGGCCTCATTGATGTAGTTATCTGTTTTCCATTGGTCCGTATCCCACTCAGCTCTTGACACCTTGACTTCTTGCTGTTCACTGAGAAGCTTCATCAGCAGGCCTGTTCTGGAGATGAGCTTGGAACAGGGTATCTGTACTTCAATTGAAGAGCAGTCCATTTTCAAGGTCCGGATGAGATGGGACAGGAGCCTCCTCACATCGTTATCGGGAACAAGAGGCATCAGCTGCTGGTTTAACTGCATTTCAAAGTGATCAGAAAAGGATGGAGAATGGGAATGGGTGATGGTGGCCTTGAGAGTTGAGTCCGTTCCAGACTTGAGATATTCCCATTGTGTTTCCTTGTTTTGTTGAATAGATGGAATTACATTTAGTGCAGTCACAGTGGATTCTGGAGCAGGAAGATTTTCCTGAATTGTGTTTTTAGGGAGCCTTCCTTCTGGCACAGGGATGTTTTGTGCAGGAGTAGTTCCTACCCCAGCATTTGTTTCAATCTGGGGTTTTACAGGAGTGCTGTCTCCAGAAGGCTTTGAAAGAGCATTGAATTCTAGAAAAGGGTTCTCCCTCGAAATCGGCTGTCCCCATGATGAAAAGTCCCCTCCTGAAGGGGAATTTATGAGGTTCCTTACTGCAGAAAATGGAGGCCTGTTTGCAGGCACTGGTCTAAAGCGTGAAATTTTCTTTCTGAACTTTTGACTCATTTTGGCCCTGGGTATTCTGTGGGCCACGGGAGATTGGTATGTTTTCTGGGAATAAATGACTGGATTAGAAGCCTCCATGCTTTTAACTCTAGAATTTGCTTCTTCTAAAATAAACATGCTGTCGGCTAAGTCTTTGTCTTTATTTCCGACCTCACGTAGGGGTTTTACAATGGTGGATAAGGAGGCCTTTCCCCCTGAGTCTTGTTTCTGCAAAGAAGAGGCTACTGCCTTAAGTTTCTTTATGAATGAGGACTCTGTGGGCAAGGAGTTTCCCACCATTTTCTTGGGCTCCTGAGCCCCATGAAGTGGCCCCAGCTCCCTTGTTGGAGGTCTCCTAAACCTCTTTCTTTTACCACCACTCTCCACAAGATTCTGGGCACTCTGTCTCATCCAGGAGCTCTGTTTATTCCCTTCCTTGAAGTGTCTTTTCTGTTTGCCTTTTGGCCCCTCGAGGATTCTATTGAGGCTTGGCAGTCTTTCCTCTTCATTCTCCATTTCTTCCCAGATGCCTTCCTGTGGTTCAACACTTGGCATTTTTTGGGGAAAGATTTGCCGTTTAAGTTTAGGACCTAAAATTTGAGGTTGCATGAATACTGATGCTTTCTCTTTCTTTTTAACATTGTTATATTTTCTCTGCCTTTCTGTACCTATCAGATTTTCTACCCTATGAATGTCATTTAATGTAGGTTTGGAAATGGAGGAGTCTGATGCCTGTATAATTGGGGAAATCTCCATATTGGCTTTTAAATAATTTATGAAGGTATCTCCATTTTGTACATTGGAGAAAAGCAGTTTAATGAGTGGTAATTCTGTAGATTGTATATCTCCTACATTTCCCTGTGTGAAATAGGCCAATATGTATCTTAGTGCAGTAAAAAGATCACTCCCATCAGTAATTTCAGGCTGTTCATTCATGAGTCCTGAGTGGGTAATGTCATTTTTGTTGGAATATTCTCTTTCTGGTTCAATAGTGAGTTCGGTGCTGGTATTCTTCTTCCGGGATTTTAACACCTTCATGAATGTTCCTTCTGCGTTCCCTATGGATTCTTCTTCAACTGCCAGAAAGGAAAAGAATGCTTTGATAGGGGAAGACTGATAGCTTCTTAGCACTCTCCCACCTCAGAACCCCAGGAAATACATTAGGGGTCAGCAAAGATTTGAGTGTCAATAGAGGGGAAAAATAAGCCCTAACTCAAGCATATGAAATGGCAACAACAACCAGAAAAAAGACAAGCCTGAACAAAGTAGTCACCTACTTAGAACATCTGAGTACATAATTTTGTGTGAAATACAGGAACTCTATTAGAGAAGAACTTCCCCAATGCCTAGTACTCAAAAAGAGCCCAAGGCTGGAAAACAAATATTCATCCTGAGTATCTTCTCTGCAGAAGAGCCATGCCTCTCCACATTCACATGCCCAGTATTATCCTGTCCTGTTATACCTTCAGAAGGAGCACAGGCGGCTTCTCTCCACCTCTTGACTGTGCTGTGTTCCTCCTACCACACCAGAAACCATGACAAAGGATGGTCCTCAGGATAGCAAGGTCAAGGCTAACCCAGAGGTCCATCTCCTTTTAACAATAGGTCCTCAACTGGACTTCTACTTTCCCACCTACCTTCCCAGTACCTTCACTTGACCTCTGATTCTATATGTCCTGCTTCCCTAATCGTAGGCTCTACAATTTGGACATGGGGTTGGGGTATGTTAAGCAATTTTCAGTTATCCTGGTTGTATGTTAATGCACAATGGGTATGAAATCAATAGAGTAATAGCAATTCTGCATATAAATGACTTGATGTTCTAAAATGTGCAAAAGAAAAGCCTACGTTTTTGTTGTGCGTTACTGGGATTTGAACTCATGACTTTGTGCTTGCTAGTTTGGGAGTCATTCAGCCACTCAAGTCCCACACCTGGTACTTTTTGCTTTAGTAACTGTTTGGTTAGGGTTTTCTGTTTTTATTTGCTCAAGCTGGCCTCTCACATCAGTTCTCCAGTTTATAGCTTCCCTGTTAGGATCAGGGACATATGCCACCACAGTTGTCTTATGGATTGAGATGAGGTCTTGGATAAATGTTTTCCCAGGCTTACTTGGAGCTATGATCTCCCTTATCTCTCCCTTCTGAGTAGCTGTGGTTATTGGCATAAATCACAGTATGGAGCTGAAAAAGCTACTTTTCACTTCAAACTCTCCAGTGCTACTTGGGAAGCATCCAGAGCATCAGAGAATGTGAACATTTAGTGTACCATCCTGTGCCTAGGAGAATTAAAGTACTTTTGTTGGTAGTGAGGTCACAGGAGGAGGTTAGATGGTGGGAAAAGAGGAACTTTGGTCTCTGGTAAGTCCAGATTCGAGGGTTCAAGACTTGGGCATGGGGCTATAGTACCTGACTTCTCTGATCTAATTTTCCTCAGCTAAAAAAGATGAACAAATCCTTTCTTGCCCATCACTGATAGAGAAGGAAATAATGATATGAATGAAAAATTGTTTTGCAAACTAAGCAACCTGGTAGCAGAGTAATTACAGGTTTTTGTTTTGCCCCCCATCACCAGTGGAAACCTGTATGCAAGTTACTGCATTTCACACATCAGTCATGTTTTGGAAGTCACAAAGTTAAATCTAGTAATGTACAGGGAAAAGTGCTTCCAAACACCGGGATATTCTGTGGATAGGGAAACCTGAGATTGAAACATGTTCAGAGTTGGACAGTCTAGACCTGGAAGAGGCCTTTGATTGGTTATGAAAGCTAGGTAACAACTGGAAGGTAGAAAATTGGAAATTCACAGGCTCCAAATAAGACAACATCACTTCTACTGTTTTAGAAAACAAAGCTAAACCTAGCTGCACTTGTCACAAAGACAAAAATACTTGAGACTTAAAGAATCTTACAGTCTACTTTGCACCATCTGAATAAAATTATTATTGGAAGGCAGAGTACCAAGCAGGGACCACAGTACATGCAACATGGCCCTTGATAATCTCTTTTTTTCTTCCATTCCCTTCTCTTGATTCTTAGGCATATGGGCAGTTAAATTATTGAATTATATAGTAACTCCTGCAAACAGGACTTTCATTAAGGAAACAGTTCAGAAATGTAGAGAGATTAGCTCTAGATAAATGAATAAAAAGAAAGCAATTATTAATTTAGAAATCATCACCAGGGAAAAGTAAAAAAATGAAAACAATATGCATCGGGTGAACAGACTCACGGCAGTGTGTGTTATTTGTCAGCAAGTCACTGTCACAATGTAGCTTGACCGTCTTGCAGATAACCTCAATATTGTTTTTAAATTGGCAGAGGCAGCTGGCCATATTGCGAGGTAAGACCCTATAAATGGAAGAATCGAGAATTAACTTAATGGAGAAGGGGTTACTGACTGGTAGAAGAGCCAATGAAAGGCTAATAATTCTATTGAATCTTGTTTTGGTTTGAACTTTGTTTGTTTCTTTGTTTTTTGTGTTTTTTGGCTTATTTTATTTTTGGTTTTTATGGTTAATTAAAATTTATATTTATGTATTTATATTGTTATTATAAAACTGATGTACAGAGAGGTTACTGTTACGAAAATAGGGGAGAATGAAAAAGGAATAGGCTGGACTCAGTCTCCAACAGCCAAGGACTGTTTATTGTCAGTGATGGTCACAGACCTTCTTGTGGGATTGGAGGTTGTGTGAGGGGGTGAATTGGGGTCAGGTTTGTATGGGTTCTGAGCAAGGAGTCAGAGGTTAATGAAAAATCCATTAGGACTAGGGAGTTGGGTGCTTTTCAGGTGGGCCCACAATGGAATATTTACAGCTGAGCTTAGGTAGATTGCCCTCCCTGCACATCAATCACATCTGTGCTTACCAGGGTTTTTGCCTGGTGTCTGATTGTGCCTGGTACAATAGGGTTGATGCCAATCTTTCTCATTCCATCTTTAGATACATAAAATGATTGGGCCATGAGGGGAGAGGCAAGTCCTTACATAAGTCAGAAATGAGTACATTCTTATTGGGCAGCATCGACCCTTCCCTTATTCTCAGTTTTTCCCTCCTGCCTTTACACACCAGTGGTATATAGTTCATTTCCAACATAATGGCTAATGTGTACTGCTGGTGTGCTTGCTAACCCATTAACTCTTTTCAGTTGTACAGAAAAGAGCTATTGAGCAACATGGCCTGGACAGTTAAAGAGGAACCCTTTGGTAAACTACTGCTCTTTAATATTTGAAAACAAACAGGGAGGAAGACTGGGGGGCCCAATAGAAGGTTAATCAGAGGAGTGATGTGGTCTGACTCAAATTTAGGTGTTAGATTAGAAGTGAGAGGCCTAGATTTGTAGTTTAACTTAGAAGCATCTCCTATGAATTCAAAGGCTTCTGGGTGGTGAGTGCTCAGGAAAGAGGAAGATTTCTAAGACAAGTTTGCAAAGCTCCCAACCTCAGAATTCCCTGCCTCTTTCTTCTTTCTTTCTTTTCTTTTCTGTCTTTCTACTTTCTTTCTTTCTTTCTTCCTTCTTCCTTTCTTTCCTTTCTCTCTCCCTCTGTCCCTCTGTCCCTCTCTCTCTCTCTCTCTCTCTGTTTCTTTCTCTTTCCTTTTTTGCCTTGGTCTTGGGGCTTGAACTCTGAGCTTGGGAGCTGTCCCACTGCTCTACTACTTTAAGGCATAATGCCATTTCCGGTTTTCTGGTGGTTATTGGAGATAAGAGTCTTGAAGTCTTTCCTGTGTGGGCTGGCTTTGAACCAAGATCTTCAGATGCCATCCTCCTGGGAAGGTAGAATTACAGGCATGAGCCCTGGTGCCCAGCCTCTGCCTCACTTTCTATTCCAAGTGGTAAATATTAGAAATTACACAAGGTGTCAAAACAGCCTAAACACTCTATATTACAAGCTTAGAAAAGAAAGGATCATATTGGCCAGAGACAATCTGAGCGTATAGAAGACTAAAAAGGCAGGAGGCTGGTGGCTCATGCCTATAATCCAAGCTACTTAAGAGGCTGAAACCTCAGCATCAAGGTTCAAGGCAGGCTGGACAGGAAAGTCTATAAGACTTTTATCTCTAACTATACAATAAAAAAATGTAGAATTAGAGCTGTAGCTCAAGTGGTGGAGCACCAATCTTGAGCAAAAGTTAAAACAATCTCATGGAATGTGCCCTATCCAGTGAGTTAAAACCCACGATGGGTCCATATACATGCCACCACACAAACACACACACACACACACACACACACACACACACACACACACGAATAAAGAAGGCTAGGCATGCAGCTCAATAATACAGTGCTTGCCTGCTACATTTGAGAAATTATCTATGGTTCTTGAAATATAGATACAAACAATTGAGAATAGGACAGGAGAGAATCAGTGAAGTGCAGACATGGTTCAAAAAGAATTGTATTCTTGACTGATTGCTGATTCATGTAACTGTACCCCTTTGTATATCAATTCTGCAATAACATAAAAAACTGTAAAAAATAAAATAATAATAGGGTACGAAAAATGTGAAGAATCCATTATTCCCCTGTGATATTTAAATACTTAAAATGATAGGGTGCTCTCCTGTAATGTAGTAATGAAAAATGGTCAATGAGGAGGCATGATAGAATTAGAAAATTACCTGGGCACTAGTAGTTTACCCCTATAATCCTAGCTACTCAAAGGCTGAGACCTGAGAATCATGGTTGGAAGCCATGCTGGGCAGGAACGTTCATGAGACTCTTTTTTTTTTTTTTTTTTGGGTGCAGTCGTGGGGCCTGAACTCTGGGCCTGGGCGCTGTCCCTCAGCTCTTCAGCTCAAGGCTAGCACTCTACCACTTGAGCCACAGCGCCACTTCTGGCTTTTTTTCTTTTTGCTTATGTGCTGAGGAATCGAACCCAGGGCCTCATGTATGCAAGGCAAGCACTCTACCACTGAGCCACCTTCCCAGCCCTCATGAGACTCTTATCTCCAATTAAGTAGCAAAACACTGGGAGCTGTGGATCAAGTGGTAGAGCTAGCACACTAGTAGTGAGTACAAAAGCTCAGGCCCTGAGTTCAAGCCCTAGGACTGGCATGAAAAGAAGTCATTTTGTCCCTGCCAACAATAATCATGACAGGAAAGTATTAGATAAGAGTCTTTTGCTCCCCATATCTTGGGAACACTGACGCTCCATCTTGTGGGTCGCCTTCTTGCTTGGGACCAGTTAGATTACCTTAGTTTTGTTCAAACAGCCTGCAGCCAGGCTTGGAAATGGAGAAACCATCAGATATCAGTGTGTTCTCTGATCCCTCGCCAGTGTCCACCAGGCTGGCAGCCACCACACATAGCCATAGAGAAGGAAGAATTGGCCTTGTGCCCAGGAAGAACAACTTCATTGCTAAAGGGCCATTTCAGAAAATATATGCCCTGGCTTCTGCTGGTAGAAAGCCTTGATTGCTGAGCCATCACTTTACACAGATTAGTGGCAAACAAATCACAAAGGAGGGCCTGAAAGTTAAGGATTTGAGAAGGCTGGCATACCCAGTCTGGGTCCAGGTCACAGACTACTCTCAGAGGTGGACAGAAGAGGAAGAGTTTGAGCTCAGGATTTAGCAGTTGGCAGCAACTTCATTCTCCAAGGCCATTTCTGAAAACAAAGGATCTAGTGTCCTCTGGTAAATAGCTCAGACTATACAGTATCAGTTTGTATTGATGCCTAGAGCAAATAGCCTATCTGACAAGGTAGTTTTGGGGAGTGAGCCAAAGGAACTCAGAGATTAGAGAATACGGTAGTCTGTCTTTTGGGATTTCTGGGTCACTTGGTTGTACAGTTTTGGCAAAGGAAAATGGAAATAGGAGGATCAGGGGGAGACATGAAGCAATTATAGTCGCATCCACTGCCAGTGGGACAATCTGAGGGTTTTGTGATGTGACAGAAGCCAAGCCCAAAAGGCTACACATTCTATGCTTTCATTTATAGGATGGTCTAGAAAAGGTAGACTTGTAGGGCCAGAAGTAAGATTGGATGTTTCCAGGGGTAGGAGGAGGAGGAGGAGGATTGGATTGATTGCAAAGGGCCTGTTCCCTTTTGTGGGTGATGGGAATGCAGTAGTGGTTACAGCTATGCAAACTCATCAAACTGTATACTTAAAAAAGTGTAAAGTTAATTGCATGAAAGTGTCACCGCAATAAACCTCACCTCAGAAAGCAATAAAACAAACCTGAAAAAGTGATACAAATGTACAAACAGTTAACTCACAGTTTTTCCAAGGAAAGGGTCAACATGAGGACATTCTCAACTGTCGTAAGTTGCACTTGTGTTGTTCCCATATCTCTGAAGGAGAAAGCCAGACATTCATGATAAACCCCAACTCAAAGATCATGTGCTTACACATCAGATGCCCCACTACAGATAAGTTATGGTACCTGTATACAATGGAATATCACGCAGCCATTAGAAAGAACAAAATAATGGCATTCGTGGGGAAAGGGATGGAAGTAGAACAATCATGCTCAGCTAAGATTGGCGAGTCTCCCTGATAGGTGATATTAAATTCAAAACACAATGAGAGATGACAAGAAACAAAGGACCTCTTCTTAATGTGTGGCATTATTTTTACATGACTCTTGTGTTCTTGACCCCACATATGATACATACATACATGTGTACATCTGAGGGAAGCTAGGAGGGAACAGAATCAGAGGGAAATGGGTGAAAAAATACAGCAGAAGGGCTCGCCCATCAGCTGCACCGGGCATTGATGAAAGTGAACTAAGCAACTCAAGGGCAGAGATGGGAGGGAGGGAATGAGAGAAAAAGGGGAACAGCTTACACTAAGCAAGAGCAAAGAAATGTACATATCAACCTGATTTGGAATGAAATGGTTGTATTGTCAAAGTCTGTAGTGTTCCTAAGCTTTATAGACCGGGATAATGACAATTTGCCTTCTGAAGGTTAAAATGTGTTTGTGACTATCCCACAATACTGTGAAATTTAGGTAATCACTTAATCTCAATAAAGAAATAAAAAAAATGCTGTGTTCTAGTAAAGATCCCTCACGGTTTACAAAGTACTATGGTTGTGGCACATATTTTTTTCATTGTGAATTAAAACATGAACATATTGGAAATTGTTCATTTCAGTGATGATATTGGTTTTGTTTGGGAGGTTTTAAATGTGCCATTATTTTGACTGTTTTAGAGTCACATTTTCTTCTGATCAGAATTTTTATTAAGATGTTGAAGCTTTTGTTTTATTGAAGCTAGTGTGTCATAACACTTTGTGCATAATCATTGCATTTATTCTGTAGGACTATAGTGAATGTGTAGACTTATGTTTACTGCTAAGGAAACAATTATTTATAAAATAATATTAGAAGCGGCATCAGCTACCTGCTGCACACACTTAATACTGACAGAAATCCCTGTTACATTTTCCACACTGAAGTTTGTTTTTAAAGAATCACCCTCATTGTTGAAAAGTAAATGTACTTACTTAGGGTGTGAATATTAGTGTTCTAATAAGCAAGTGATTATATTGAGGTGGTGGTAGCAGGACGCTAAACTTGATTTCATTGGGAACCTTAGGTTTTTGTAAATTTATTGGGAAAATAGTTTTTCCTGTATTGCCGAAGTTTCTTTTTGGTAAACAGTATCTTTCTAGAAGAAAAAGCATGCAGGAGAACTTGAGGTGTATATATATTTCCTCACTGACCAGCAGTGTATTGGTGCCTACTGTGGATCTTTGCAATGAGTAGTATGGACACGGTTCAGTTTTCAGTGGGAGGTCAAATACTTTCAAGGGAAAACAGATCCTTCAAGAGCATGAGTCAGCTCAAGAGTTTGTCACTGAAAATAATTGACAGTGTTCTTTCTCATTGAAAAGACTCTAAGATACTCTTTCTTACATCATCAAATTAGGATGTT